ATTCTGACCTAAACCTTTTTTTTTTTTTCTTTTACTCTTCTTTAATGTCAGGATGTGCTGAGAACACTTTCTGGTATGTGGGCTACTGTATGTATGATGCCTCCATATTCAGAATAATAGAGCATAGAGTCTCTTGTGGAGAAGTTTGGGTGAGAAATGTAGCACTCAGCATTTCCATTAACAGTGCAGCCTTCTGTATGTTCCAGTATGAAGCATGGCCAAACCTGCCAGCACACTGTGGTCATTAATTGGCAGACAAATAGAGCAAATGCTGTTAAAAGATTTTGGTTTATACTGAGTATAAAGGATAATTAAATAGCAACAGTGAGAAACAGTCAATTGTAATCCACAAATCCAGCTGCAAGTCCGTGACACTGGTCAATAAAGGGCTATTGACCAGCAGGAGGCTGCCCAAAGTCTGGCCTTCCTCAATAAGTTGCCTTTTTAGATCAGACGATGTTACTGTAGGTGGGGACGTTTCAGTCCAGTCCAAAATACCAGATGGAAAACAGCCACAGCTCTCTGCACCTGGCTGTAACTACCAAGTTCGTGATTCTGACTGATCAAACTCCTGCAGCATCAATGTGAGTGCTCAAGTTGAAAAACTGTGCTTACAGCTCATATAATTGTTTTCTTAGAGTCTAATAAACCACTTTTGACAAATCTATTAAAGGGTTTTGACTTTGGAAATTATAGTTTGACCAGCGGTAGCCTATCTGCAGTTTTCAGAGAAAGGAGGCAACTTTCACTGCCCAGAGAAACATCTAATAGGATTTCACACAGCTGCCTCAGGTCAGTGACGCATACAACCGATGGTATGTGCATACTGTGCGGTGGTCTGACTGACTTTACCTGCTGCCATTAGAACCTGTAACCTGATTGATCGGGACATGTGCAGGGTATATTTTTTTATTATGGCTCATGAGGAGCGCACCTCCTCAGCTCAGCAGCCTCCCTCTCATTGACACACTCCTATAGAAACTTGACGATGACAAGTGCATTCTAAAACAAACAGGCCTAGAGATCCCCCTGAGAAAACACATTGCAATTCGAACCCTGACCAAACAATCTCAGCACAAAGTCCATTTATTAGCTTTATCTGGACCTGTCAACTCAAATTGATTTGTCAAATTATTTCCAAGGTCAAGAATAAACTTTCACACTTCACTTTAAGCCAAGAGACCCTAAAAGTTGAAACAATCCATCAGTTAGTCAGCTGGCAAAAATTAATTGGCAACTCTCTTGATAATCGATTAATCATTTAAGTCCATTTTTTAAACCAAAAATGCCAAAAAGTCTCAGGGTTCAGGTTCCTTGATACAAAAATTCGATGCTTGTCCCTGTTTTGAATATTGAATTGAATATTTTATTTTCTGTAACACTTGTTGCTGTGGTGTTCATCTTGTATTCAGCCATAATGACACTGAACAACACTGTTGCTCCGGGTAAGAAAGTGACTCTAATGGCTTAGAAGTTCACAACATAGATAATAAAGCACATTTCTGTCAGGAAAGGCCCAGTGTTGGCTTTTAAAAGATACTGGAGCTGTTCCAGACACAACCTTCCCTGGCACCTGCACACAGACAAATGGAAATGTGTCTAATGAAAGGCTTTCAGGCGATATTGATTTTTTTTTTTTTCATAAGTGTGGCTGGCAGTTTTGTCCTTGACATAGATTTGGACAAGTATGCAAATGGAGGAAAAATGTAAGAACAGATGTGTGTGTGTGTGTGTGTGTGTGTGTGTGTGTGTGTGAGAACCCTGAGTGCTTATGTTTCTTGCAGCACCACAACTGTTATTTTCTCTTTGTAAGCAGCTACACAAGCAGTGTTACAACATTTAAAAGGTTCCTACACACACTAATGACTTAACTGTCTAACGAAATGTCAAGTAGTACCACAGATAGATCTCACTTTGTCCCACCAGGTCTCTCTCTGGCTGTACACCTATGTCCACGTATATCATTCATCCAAATATGGGTAATGTAATTACCTGTGCAGAAACCCTCCCTTATATTCCTCAGAGTGAGGAACATTGAGATGCAAGTCAGCGGTTTTTACTTTGTGTAACCAGAGCTGGAGGCTGTCATTACACTAATGCAGCACTGCTATCCAACAATGGATCTTCCATCAGGAAGAGAAAAAAAACCCTCCAAACCACAGAGAACAAAGATCCTAAGATACATTACAACCTTATGTCTTTGCTTTTATTACTCATTGTTATATCTCTGAATCTTGATGATCTTCTCATAAGGTAGCTAGGATGTCATGAGCTATATTCACAGGCACAGTTCATTCATTAAATGAAGGGATCACTGACATAGGCAGTACACACTGTCAATGGCATTATGAAGTAGGTTTGACGTTACATTAGTGATTAAAAGTTGTGATAAATGCACATGACATTTTTACTACATCAGCAAGCTCTGTTAGAATTCTCCTGTGCTGGATTGACATGTTTGAAGTTAGATTTTGGTTTGTAAAAGCATGTGTGTGAACAGAAAAGTGAACAGGTCAAAATCCCATGCAAAGGTGCCACTAAGCAAAGCACTTATCTCCTCTCATGTAACAGCTCTATGGCCATCATTGGAAGATAGTGGCTGCACTCGGTGTGAATGTGTGTGAACCAGGCTCAGGCTTAGTTACCCTTCCTAGACACACAGTTCAATTTTATTCTATTTTATTTGTATAGCGCCAAATCACAACAAACGTTGTCTCAGGACATTTTACAAAGTAAGGTCTAGACCTTACTACTATTATTATTATCATCATTATTATTATAGAGGAGAAACCCAACAAATCCCAACCCAATCTTGAGCAAGCACTTGGTGACAGTGTGGAGGAAAAACTCCCTTTAACAGAAGAAACCTTGTAGCCTTAGATTTTCTTCTCAGTGAACACCCACATGACATTTGTTAACACCCATCTAGCACAGACCTATTTGTCATAACAAGCAACAGGTTATAGACCGGTCCCACAGTGGAGAAAAAGGTAATATTTCCTGCTTTTATTTGAAAGGGTGAATGCGTTCTGTCATTTCATAATTATATCTGATGGAGCTGATATTACTGCATACGCAGCAACATTGTGAAACATGCTGAGTAGAATGTGTCAGACTGAAATGAATTTTCTCTAGTTTTCAGTGTAACCTGAGAACTACTGACTTATATTTGAGCCTCGATCTTAAAGATGCGATGAAATTATATTTGTAAAGAAATCATTGTATTTCATCATATTTACAGGCTTCACTTTCCACATTAACGCATTCATTTTTACTCACTGAATTCCCTAGTGCCCAGCCCTAGACTTGGTGTGCCAGAGCGCTGACACAAACACAACAGCCATCTGTACAGTTTACAAACCTGCCTTATGAACATGTTTGTAAGTAAAGATGTGATTTGTTAGCTTGTAGCATTAGCTGCCTCTGGTATGTAGTTAGTTAAATTCTGCCGAACTTGAACCCTGAACCAGTTACACAGCTGAAACATTTTAATTGTTGTATATTTTTTTTTAAACTAACTTAAAATCTAAATTTTAACTGTCTCTACAATTTTCAAACATTTTACCAGAAACACCCCCAAAAAACAAAGTGTAGAGCCTTTAGCTGAGTACAGCTAGTTGATTTGCCACTGGATTAAGAAGTGTTAGACCTTTTGCAGTATCAGTAGCAATAATACACGAGTATAAAATAAAGTAGAATAAAATAAATAAATAAAAACTACTTAGAAATACAGAAATGGCCCCTGTGAATGTTATACTGTTTAAAAGGCTATTATTGGGTTGTTATTGCCGATGCATTCATTTCTAAATATTATACTGTTGAACGTGGTCACATTGGAACTAAGTTTGCTATTTTATATTACTATGGTACATACAGGCTCATAACAGATTTTGTATGTAAAATCTTAATTTGTAAAAAACTAACAAACTAGTAATTAAATCAATGGGGAGAAGTAAAAAGCAGGCTACAATAATTGTAGTAGAGTAGAGGTTTAAAGAGACAGAATAGAATAGCGACAAACACCAAGAAAAGAGAACACATCACTCCAGTGCTTAGATCTTTGCACTTGCTTCCAGTTAAATACAGAATTCCGATCAAGGCTTTACTTAGTCTACAAGTCTCTCTGGGCCCAAAGCATATCAGAGATACTGTATGTTTGCTGAGTAAAGGCCAAGTAGGTGCCTCAGATCTGCAGGGACTGTTTAATGGAAACAGCTTCCATTACAACTTACATCTGCCCCAACTGGAGCCACTTTTAAAACTAAGCTAAAGACTGTTCTTTATTCAGCTGCTTTTAATTCATATTTCTTAATTCCACCCAGTATCGCACTTTATCTAATTCTGTTTTTTCTTTTATTTCCCATCTATTACCCAATGACCAATTGACCTTATTATGCTGTTAGGCTGTTTAGACACCGATGTTTCAAATCTTCTGGAAGAAAGTACGCCCACCTCTGGTGTAAATTACTCTGAGGTTAGTCTTGGGAAGACCGGAGTAAAGGGGTACAAAGTATAATGAGAACTGTGAGAATCCATAGTCTGCCACAGCTATACTAAAGGTACTAGGTATCTACTCATGCGTGTTGCTACTTGTATGGCCATGTAATTGTTTCTTTTAATTTGCATGTGATATTTTATTCTAATTTGCATTCATTTTTATCTGCATATGCATTTGTATGTTTTCTCTATGTGTGTGCATTGTGTTAAGCGCCTTGAATTGCCTTTGTGTATGAAAATGTGCTATATAAATAAACTTGCCTTTCCTTGAAATGGAGCTATTCACAGTGCAATTACCTGAATTCTTATTCAAGTACTATAGTGCTATTAAAAGGTTTTTTAAGTACTTTCTTTTCACCACTGTGATTTACTAATCACTATTAACCACCTCATAGAATTGTTTTAAGATGACATATCACACTGTCCACCAAAGGTTTGGTTTGGTAACGTTTCTGCAAAATGTCCCATCACTCATGTCACACTAGTCTGTCATGATGGCAAAGATTGCTCTGACCAGTGTGGACCGGGACTTGAAACACTTTGACGGACATTATGACACACGCAAGTGCGGGAACTTTGGGATGTTAGTTGGGTCCTAGCACACTCAGAAACAGGTAAGCTGTCTACTAGCAGTGCGTATTTTGGCTTGATATGGCCCCGAAATATGTTGCGATGCCCATGCGCGTGTGTAGTTCCGTGTTGTTTAGTTGTGTGTGTGGTCTACAAAACCACTTAGACCTGAAACAACGCCTGTCATCGTGAGGCTAGCTAGTTGGCATCTGCTTGAGTCGCCCGGGCCCTTCTCCGTTGTGCTTTGTAGCCTCAGTTGAATTTGTTGTGTACTGAGAAAATGCATGTATCACGTTCTGTTTGACTGCATTTGTTCGTGAAACAGTAGGATATGGACAAAATGTGCCTCGCCTGGTGTAAAGCCCAGATAGTGAGCTTACCCAGGAGCTACATACTAATCGGCCCATATGAAGGGGCAGTGCGTCCATGCGTAACCGCTCGTCTCCATTCTGTGCTCCAGTAGTATTGCGCACAGACAGTAGGCGCCCTGTTTTATTGGTTTATTTTTATTTTTTTATATAGGGTTTTGAGTTGTGAGCTTTACTCTGTTTAGCTTTTATCCTCTGTCACTCCTGGGGTTTGGAGATGTGGGGAGTAGGGAGGCCAGCGGGGTTAGGAGCCAAATAAAATACAACAGCCTATATTGTTATGTTTGTTGTTTTGTAGACTCAGATGTACTTTTTTGTGTTATGTTATTCAGCTATCCCACATTTTCTATAGGCTCTTCTCCACTTGTAATGTGCATTTGTTATTTAGTGGCTATTATGCACATCAGGTGAAACCATAAACGGACAATTTGAAATTTGTGACTAATTTAGCTCAGTGGTAAAATATATCAAACTGGAAAGGAGAATTTTTATTTATTTGCTAACCTAGAATTTAATTTGGTTGCTGTGTGTCCATTTGGAGACTCCTGCTGTCCATTTTGGAGCTGCCTGGACCACTTCATGGAAGAAAACCATAGGATTGTCATAGTTGTGATATCATCATCAGATTTGAAACAGTTATTCATTGGTATTTAGTTTACAACTCCACAGTGCTGTCAAACTGGAACTATAAAGCCACAGGCAGTTATTTGGATTTGTAATATCTAATTTTATTACATATATTTTTTAGGCAAGACCTTATTTATTCATATAGTCAGCGCGATTCAATAAATGTCAGTAAATGTTAGTCTGGGAATCAGAATGAGGGTCTTTGTCTAACTTTGAGGATATAGCCAGCAATGTATCTACAGTGTGTGATGATGTTTATGCAGGTTCACATGGAGTTGTAAAATGTTTTGGGGTGTTTGACACACTTTTAAAATATTCTATATGAAAAGAGATCTTGTCCAGTCGGTTAATATATAAAATATCAAGTCTTAGTTTAACCAGTCAGTGAACTGGAAAATGAAAATGAGAATATCTTCAGTTCAATAAGTCTCACTGCCAACAAACTGGCTCAGTTCCAGTGATTTAATAGAAAAGATCATATAATATCAGACTGGAGTTTCATCTGAAGTTTATTTCACCATCTAGTTCTTGGGTTTATTTATGCTACTAAAGGGCCCATTCAAAAGCAGTCTAGTAAAACCAAATGATCCCTATTTACTTCAGCTTACTTTGAGTTGGGCCATTTTTTAAAGTAACAGGCACTACGGCTAATAGAAATATGTACCAGTAGCAGAGCTGCTTCATTGCAGCAGCTCTCTGAACAGTGATCTTTGCAAAAGGTGCCACATGAGCCTAAGATAGAGGGCAGCACACATTCAGTGCTTTCTCAAATTAGTCGAAGACTTGCTTGTTTTGAAAGGGTCTGAACCTGAAGTTTCTTGTTTTGGTTTTCTGTCAGTGGACAGACTGATGCACAACCACAGCAGGTGACTTTTCCAGAGCCTTTACGCGTAGCTTTGATTGGAGACCCTTCCATGAAACTTTCAGAACACCAGAAGAGAAGTTACTGCTCTAGTCTTAGTCGAAGGAGAGGAGAATGATCTTTTGCTCTGATATGCAAAACCCAGCCTAAGCAGAATGAGTGGAAGGATCATCACATGGCCTGTAAAGGATAAAACCAGGATTATTACACTGAGCCAGTAAAGTTAGTTTTCTTTTTTGTTCTTGTGTCCTTGGAGAGACATTTGAGCTGTAAATGGAGGGAAAAGGGAACATTTCAATTTGCCACAAAGCAAATCATTTATTAACTCCGCCACACACAAATAGCCACATCAGCTCTCAGCATGGATCCTCCCTGGCCCATCAAAACCGCTTCAGCCTCACTGCTACTTATTTCACTTAACAGTTAGAACAGTGACAGAAAACTTGATAAATCTGGCTGTCATCATTATGTGCCCACCTTTAGACAAGTTACATCAAATGGACCAATATGGGAAGTGGTGCTGCACAGTTTGAATCTTTTAAATTGGAAACAGTGGAGGACCATAGTGTGTATTACAGCCAACCACAGTGTGTATTACAGCCAGCCACAGCTGTCAGCTCATCAACGGGCTCCCAAAATAGGCAGCACGTTTACCAGCAAATGAGTTAGTGTGGTCAGGTTCAGACTGTCCCTCTGCTTCCTCCTAAAGGGCAAATTATACTCCATGGTTCCAAATCAAAGTATGAACAGAAAGGCGTCTGCGTCCGCACTAGGGTGTGCACAGTCTAATTAGCCCGTAAACCCCACACCCTTGTTATCATTAATAACAGTTGTATGATTCTTAACAGTTGTACGTGGTTATCTTTGATCTGTTGTGTAACTTTGGCAAACCAGAAGCTTAAATGGAAAGTCCACCAGTTTTACGTTCAGGTTACTTGTCATGAGCGCTCATCCTGTGTGAACAGTTGCCTGATGTCTGCTGTAATTCTCGAGGCTGTGCTCCAGAGTGAGAAAAAATAACCCTGATGTCATAGTGATGTCATTAGGGTTATCTCAGCTACAAAGTTCTATCAGAAACCCCGCATTACGATGCAGTGTTTACTGGGCAAGGAGTGTCTAATGAAAGATGCTATTAAATTGCATTATGGGAAATGTAGGACCTATTGCTTGACCCATACTACGGATTAAAATCTGTTTATTTTTCAGCCTCTGCTGCTCTGATTTTGACCAGGCTTATTTAAACTTGTGTCTTTTAGGTCCCAGCTTCATAAAAGTACAGTGATAAATCAGTGGTGTCCCTTTAAAGTGGATGCCACACACAGAGCAAGATGATTTTTGGTCATATATAGGTTTTACCCTTGATACTTTTACTGATGGTGCTGACTTGTGGGATACTGCTTGTATCTGACTATGAATGGCTCTTGGTATTTCAGAAAGTAAAAGTGAATTGATAAACTAGACGACACTAATCACACTGTAACCAGGGGAAGTTGGTTGAACCTTTAGAAATGAAGTTTAGACTGATCAAAGCGTCTAAAGCAGCATCATGACGTCAGATGAGGTTAAATACAGATTTTATTCACAAGTAAAAATGTTAACAGCAAACATTCAAATATGATTTGTTATAGTAGCGATCTGTTGCCTTTATGAGCCTCGATCTGCCTTTGCTGTCTGAGCCTGCATGTCTAAGATCAGTCTGACTGGTCAAATGCAAATGATAAGAAAATAGCTATCAGAATGAGAAGGAATTAAAATGCACTGCTGCTGTTGTCCTCCTGTGCAACTTAACTTACTGGTTTTTGATGGAAGTGTTGGAAGAGGAGGAGAGGGACATTGTTTAAGCACAAAGTCCCTGATTGTCACAGCAGAGGGCTGCTCCAGAGCGGTTATGTGTTGCATGCCTCAGCGGGGAAAATGTCTTCGTATGCGGGCGGCAGTTCACTGGGGAGCGGGTAGGAGAAAGGGAAGCAGCGATTGAGCTCCGGGTCCGTGGGCGAGTATCCCGGCAGCTCGATGGACGGATGTCCGCCGCACTGCACTTCTGCACCTGCCTCGTCAAACACATTAAAAACACCCAAGTTTATGTAAGACACCGGCTGGAAATCCGCCGAGGAGCAGTCGCGCTCCTCGCTGAAGATGATCGCCCCGGAGCTCTGCCTCGGACACTGTCTGCTCCTAGAAAACTGCGCCGCTTTGAACCTTTTGATGACCACCAGGTTGATGAGCCCGAGGAGGCACTCCAAGGTGCTGAGAACGGTGGAGATGACCAGATTCCGATGGTACTCCCTCAGCTGCTCGCAGGCAGGTGTTATAAACATAGAATGGAAGCAGTAATGGGAATATTTCCTCTCCACCAGAGAAGCAGTGTCCCCGTCCACCACCGCGCCGGAGAAGGCAGTGAGGACTCCCAACAAGAAGACCACAACACCGAGGAGAAAGAAATTTCTGCAGCCGGGCTTGTCCATGCAACAAAGCAGCGCGGTGCCCAGCAGGACCTGCCCGATGCCCACAAGTAGCCCGGAGTAGAAAGCCCCAGCCGCGGCGCCGAGATGGAAATGCGCTTTCACCGTAGATCCCAGCGAGACGCATCTTAATCCGACGACAACTTCGCTCAGGGCGCACACGAAGAGGAGGGTGCTGGAGAAGACGGTGCACAGTCCTTTCCCACTCAACTTCATTATATTCCGCCTCTGCCGCTCTCGATCCCTCTCCCCCCTTCTTCATCCTCCTTTGTCCTGTCCTTCGTCTCCACTAGAAGCACTCTCACATTGGGACATCATCTGCCGGTGACTCCTCCGGTTCAGAGCGGGCGATCCTCGCCGCTGTGGCGTCTCTCTCGCATCCCCGCCGCTTTACGGGAATATATAAATAATTAATGGCAAAAATGCGTTCCTGTTTGCACTTATCGATAAGCCATACACAGCCAGTGATCGCTTCAGCAACAGATCACATCAGACTCTTGAAGCACTCTCCTGACCAAAAGTTTTCCCCTGTGGTCTCCTCCTGAAGAGAGAGCCTCGATCTGCAGTCCGCCGACTCGCTGGATAGAATGGTGCGTGGCAGAGAAGGAGGCGGCTGCACCCTGACATGCCTGAGGGTCCTGTGCACCAATGACCAGTGACCCACAGGCCTGCAGATAACTGCAACTCGGCAGCAGGTAGTTTGAATGTGTCTAAGTTGGCCCGTGATGAGTAGGCTGGTATAGCGACCTGCTGCTAAAAAGGAAAAACATGCACAACTTTTGGTTGGTTATCAATAAACAACCACCTGCAGGAACAGACATCACTGGGTTTTAGGAACAGTCGTTTTTCTGCAACCATTTAAAGGCGGCAACACTATTAAAATCGGTTTGGTAGATACATTTAATGTGCAGATTTCTCTGCAAATAAAAGGTGAAAGTCTGAGTTGTGGTGGAATCACACCGTGGTATGGTATTGGGCTCATTCCAGTGGATAGGCTACATCCATACTGTGATATGTATACGTCATCCTTTCTCGGGAGTTGTTGTTTGTCAGGTGGATTTTTCTGAAGATCATAAACAGCAGCATTAATAATAGAGCAGCACTGAGGCTGTGCTGAAGCATCCAGCCAGGCCAGATGGCAGCTCACTGGACTCGACATGTCTCCTCTCAGCCAGTCTCAGAAAAAGGCGTTTGTAGGAGAAAGTATAATGTAATAACCTGTTGTGTAGGAGGGGACAGAACTGGCCTGGCTTGGCCTGAGGGGGCCACACAGAGAGAGAAAACAAAAGAAGCACAAGCAGGCTACTACAAGACCCATGTTTATTTAGAGAAATTCTCAGTTTTAGTCCCATTAGGAATGCAGAAGGACATACCGTGTGAGTCATCCAAAGGCCATGCTGTAATTTTTAACAGAAGCTGATGCAGCCCACAGTCTAAAAGTAAATGTTTGAGTGTGAATTCCAATATGGTTCCTATTTAAAGACACAAAGAGCAGGCAGATGAACAGGATAGTTCTTAAGTTTGTGTCTAAAATTAGGACATTTCAGAGATACCTGGTCTTTAGCCTTCACTTCATGCTGGATGAGGGGTATGAGGATCAGATGGGGCATGTTAGCACAGAGCCAGTATGCTGACATGCTCTCAGTTAAAACTGCTACCACGCTGTTTTCCACCAGTGTTCCGCGCCCCCCTGGTGGTCCGCGAAGGCATTGCGGGTGGTCCTTGTTCATACATTCAGTGATGCAGTTTTAATGTAGATCTTTTTAAAAACGCATAAATGTCTGAAGAAAATTTTATGCCCACCCTTGTTGTGTTAACAGGATAGATGGAATTGTATGATGGACAGGAAAAGTAAGGGGATTATCAAAGCCATTAGGATTTATCCTCTGAGGACCACAAATGTTTAACAGACAGCCGCCCCTGGCCAGTGTGTGCGTTCCTGGTCTGCCTTGGGAACGAGCTGGCTTGCAGTTAACTCAGTTGTAGTACAGATGTGCTAAATTTAAAGTGAAAAGCAAATAAATCACACAAACACTAGCCTTCGTACGTCACATTTTTGTATAGCATGTTCAGATCATTTGCAGTCCCTTTTTTTTGTAATTTATTTCCATTTTACTAACAGATTGACTGCCTATATAGGCCTTTTAAAAGCCCTGTGTTGTCTTACAGGATCATGTTTTTCATGAAATTACATGCCACTGTGTTAATTGTGGGCATTGCAATTCTGAAGTTTTATGGAAATATAAACAACCCATTTTCATAAAGTTAGGCTAACTGAATTGAACTCAGCTGACCTGCTGTAACCTGGCCGTGATTGTTTTGCGTCTTCAGACAAGTGGCCTCTCATGGCTGTTATAATTTGATCTGGGAGCTGAACCCACACTGGGGACTGGACTTTGCCAGCTGCGCTTCAGCCAAAGTTTTGAAGTCAGGGAACCTTTCTCTCAGGAAATGTTTAGAAGTTGCTTTGAACCTGGGATTTCTTGATCCTGAAAGGATCACTTCACCGGGAGGAATGTGCAGCATGTGCTCCTTCTTCACCAGAGCACAGCTGCACCTCTCTGTGACCCGGCGCAGACACGGTCCATGGTCTCCGGTCCATGGTCTCCGGTCCATGGCTGTTCAACGCACTGTCAGCTCCTGGCTCTGTAAAACGGTCCCATAGTGTGACTTGCTGGCACAATATTGTAGGTTGCTGGATTTAACTTCCTTTCAATTCTTTTACTGTGGATGTGAAAACCTTCAAAGGACGAGCTCAAATTTTTGACTTAAAGAACTGAACATCTGATGGGTCTATGTATTCATCACAATGAGCCACCTCATTGTTTGCACCAGCAAAGTTGCCAGTGTGTATGTGTGAGTGAGAGTCTATTTCGGTCATTACTACTTTGCACAGGGTTGCAGAACAGAGAAGCTGCTGTGAGTGGTGAGTTGATGTGCTGATTGGCAGTTCTGCTTGCTGGCAGTGGGGAGCTGGGGGTCGCTCTGTTGGCAGCTCGGTGGATGTCAACATTAGCAACACGGAGACTGACTGGACCCACCCTTTGACCCAAAGTGACCTGTCTTCTGCAGGAAGAAACAGCTCTGAGTCCACCCTTCTGTTAGTTTGCCTATCAGCACATTGAAACCCATATTCACATTTGTTCCATAATGTAGGCGTTGTGAAGTCTTTAGAGACTAACTGTGATTAAGAGATATACAAATGAACCTGGATCAGGCAGCTCAGAAAATGATTTTTGTTAACTCACAGTAGGAGAAGTGATGGATACACAGCACACATTTTAATCTTATTGGAAAGATACTGAATTCACTTGTCCAACAAATCTGATGAAACAGGAGTTGTTGACAGCATTTGCCTTTGACCAGGGCACACATATAGTTTCCCTATCATGGTCACAAACCTGGAAGATGTTGCTGATGAAGAGTAAAGTACCTCCCAAGCTAATCACAGACACGGCTGCAAGAGGTAGAAGGCCGTAGACCACAGCAGATTTAAAACAGATTCAAAACATGGACGTTGCCAGCCGTATAGGGAAAAAGCATCAGCCAAATATGAATGTGCAATCCAGTGACATGTTGTGGTAAAATCACCTTTCCTCCTCATGAGCAGCTTTTTTTTTTTTACCTTAAATCTTTACAAGTCTGTGTGTGTGCGTGTGTGTGTGTGTGTGTGTTGTGTGTGTGTGTGTGTGTCTGCTGTATTTTGGGCCCATTGCATCAGCTGTGCCAAGAGTCAGCTGCGAAGGGACTGCTTCGGCATTGGAGATACAGTTTTACAGCAGCAGTTACAACTGCAGTGACAGGTCGGCCTGTAAAATTCAGTGTTCGCCTATAAATATTAATGAATCTAAAGCGGTCTGAACTGTTGTTGTCTGGAACTGGGAAAGACTCGCACAGTGTTTTTCCCAGAGAGGAACTGATGCAGAACTCTGCAGAATCAATACAGAGGCAGAGCACCTCCAGAGACAGGGCCTGTCTAATGGGCAGGACTGTAAGAAAAAAAATGAACAAAGAAGAAGCAAGGTCGTCAAGGGGCAGGGGTTTTATTTAAAGCTGCTTTAATCAATGTTTTTATATTAACAATTGATCAAATGACAGTGTGTAATGTAAAAGGTGCTAACTTGTCGTGAATAACACAAAATCATCACCTAACTCTGCAATTCCCTGCAGCTCTAGAGATTTTAGGCCCCTAATAATTTTGGTTTCTAGCCCACAATATTTGCTCATGACCCTCATCTACAGCCACTACAGGCTACTGTACAAAAGCCAAAAAAGAGAAAAATAATATAAATAAAATGACTGTAGACAACCCAATGAGAAGAGACAGAAACAGACAGAAAACTGTAGCAGCTCAGAACACAGTGCTGATGTCGCCACAGAGTTGATCTGACCATAGTTTTGCACATTTCATTCCAGCTCTGTTCCCACCAGCTCCTGAGAAAAATGGTTTTTTAACTCCTGAATGCTCCCCTGGGTTCAACATCTAAGGTAAGGCCTTTTCAAACATGCACTGGAACCCTGAAGTGAACTAAACATTACTTGAGTGTGAGAACGCAAATGTCTTAGTCAGACACCTCTAGCAAACATATTTCCTTGGGCATCCGGGTAGTAGGCGTATGCTAATTTCGAACCAGGGGTATGTGCCTGTCATATTAGGATTACTCTGATTTACTAACATACACACGTGATAAGGATAAAATTAGCCGGTACACGTGTCACGAATCTGACCTCAATTCTGCATGGACACTTATTTTGTGCTTAAGGTTAGAACGTTTCTATGCATGTTAGTGAGTGAGGCCCAAAACGTTCCCACGTCTTTACCGTTTGCGGCTCTCAGTCACAGCACCACTAGTTCTCACCAAAAATGTAAATTGTTAAAAATGGGCCAGAAATATTTTGTTTCTCTTCTAAATTATTTCCTTGCCAGCTGTTACTCAAGTAGGATTTAATAGTGCATTTGTTGGGAACTGTTTTCAGCGTTAATACGTATTAGGGGTTTTTCCATTATAGGATCACTGAAACGTGTCACGCAGAGGAATGCTCATCACGGGTTCTGCATTTGTTTCCACAACGGTGCATCTGCTTTGGAGGTGCATTCTGGGAGCTAAATTTCCGCAACCCTCAAGAGTTAGTACTAAAATCAACTACCAGGAATGAGGGGGCATGTGCACATAGCAGCCACTGGTGATTGGTTAAATCTCTTCACACCTCAAGCATTAGTATTACAAGCACAGTGTGTAAACACAGCTGACTGCATTTGTTAGAGGGGAGCAGCCCCTCTCTCCTCTGAGAGAGCGACAGAGAGAAAATACAGTGGAAAAACAAAGCAGGATGGTCCGCGTCAACCCCAGAGACTGTTTGGTGATGGTTAAGTGAAGTGCAGGGTATATACCATTTGTTAGGTTCCGACAGTGAAAATGCATCAATTGTGTACCCTAGAGTATTTGAGGCACCAGGAGCTTTGTATGTGGGACTGACTCAAAATAAGCTCCAGAAGCCATTGTGAATGCATGTTTCAGGTGTGGTTTGCGTCACCTTAAGATACTGTGTGTATGTCATCAGTGGTGCCTGCCGGATTATATTTTATAGTATGCACAAGAACTGCCTACAGAAGTATATTGCTGCCACCATGAGAAAAAGAAATTAAGTATCTTGTTATAACAAGAAACTTTTCTTTTAATAACTCAACGAGATATTTTTCATGTAATTAAGATGTTATAGGATACTGTACTCTGTCCTTATGACACGGGGTACTGGAGTGAGTGACAGCAGCGTACCCAGACTTTGAGTAGCACCTTCATAGCTCATTCAGTTCAGCAGCCTCTCTGATCAACACCCTCCCATACCAACCTTCCACAAAATGACCAACTCTGTTCTTAGGAGGAGCGCTCCAGTCTTTCATTGAAAATCACTGATCTGCCACTTAAATCTAGACAATAATTCGGCCACAACATAAAACATCAATGCAGCCCATGAGCTGTGATAAATAAAAAAATACCCTTCACATATCCCGATGATGTTACAGGCCTTACTGATGGCAGGTGAAGTCAGTGTGTGTGCAGCTGTTACTCACTCCAAGCTGCACAGGGCTCACGTTAGAGAGTAGAAATTATATGATCTGCTCTAGAGGTGTGTGATATCATATTAGATGGTTCTTCAGGCAATAAATTCAGAGCCGGCTCAATGCAAAACAGACTAAGTGCCTGCTTAGGGGCCCCGCGGCAGCCAGAGGGCCCCCCAAGAGCACTTGAAATGTCAGGTATGCAGAGCCAGATGAAACAGTCTGCCTAGAGCCCCGTGAACTACGCAACTGTTCATTAGGTTTCATAAACGCCAGCAGGCAACACTGTTTATACACTGCAGCTGGGAAAAGACCACCGCATTACACGTGAACATGCATTCATATGCACATGCATGAAATGCATCTCGCACTTTCCTGCAGCAGCCTCTGTGGGGACCAGTAATTTTAAGACACGACGACGATGATCTAGTCTGCCAGTCCATGCAAGATGGAAAGCAATGGATGGATTGATTAAGTATTGAATCTGATTAACTGGGCATACTAGGCAATATGGATGCACATTTGAAAATGAATCAAAGAAAATTTGGAGCAGCCTGTTTGAATGTGCCTGAACCGGCTGATAAAATTCATAACAGTATTGTTATCTATAATTTACAGGTGCTTACGTTTTTCTGTAGAGGACATGCTAGATCATCAGCCAGTACAAGCAGATTTATTCTTAGACAAATAGAGAAACAGTTTTATAGGAGGGAGGATTGTAGTGGGAGCACTGGGTGTGTGGCAATGGCAAATGATTTACATTGCTCACAGGCCGGGCCCCTTCACAGAATTTTGCTTAGGGCCCCAGGGAAGTTGGGACCGGCTCTGCATAAATTTGAAACAATATTGTTCTGTAGGCTATAGCCTATATATGTTGACCATGCAATGACTGGATGGGAAAATTGAGCAAAATCATTTAAAAACTGTACGAGTGGGATTATGGCTGCAGGCGCCACTGTATGTTATTTTGGAGTGGTGTTAACAGTTTTGAAAGTTTTTCCATTTAAATTATAAGTATATAGGATATTTATTAGTACCTCTGACTCCAGTTTATTCTGGGTCTGTATCTGGGCATTACTGTATCATAAAAACTCATTTAACCTGACACAGGTCGTTATTGTTCAGATGTTCAAACTGCTGGAGAAAATTGTCAAGCAAATGAATCTGTGTCTTTAAAAAGCTGAGAAATTGAGATCCTGAGGAGATGTAAGAAACAATATTATTCTAAAGTACTGGAGGATAATAAAAATAACATGAGAGGTACTTGGAATATATTAAATAAATTGATTAGAAATAGTCCCAGCAAGAGTAACTACCCCCAATACTTTATGGATAATGATACACCGGTCAACAGAATGGAGGATGCAGTTGATAAGTTTAACAGGT